TAAAAAAATATTTGGTAAGCATTTTTAATACATAATGAACATTCACAAACATGTAATTATTTTTTTAATACACGATAAACCCTTTTACATACATGGTAAACCTTTTTAAAAATATGTGATGCACATTTTCACATATGGGATGAACATTTGTTAAATACGCAATAAATATTTTTCAAAATACAGGACAGATATTTATACACACAAATCTAAATATTTATTTACATGCCTTAATATATTGTTCTATATTTTAAACTGTTTTTATTTTTATAATTTTATTAGTTGAATAAAAAAAGGTGAAAAATATATAAACGAGTAAATTGGGCAGCGGCCCACTTACGCTGGGGTGTGCGTTGCTCTTCGTATCCGGCGCCCTACGCGCGGAATAGGAGGTCCCGGTCGTCGTGGGACGTGGGAGACCGAAATCACTTCCTCGCCCCAAAATCTTGTCGACGGCGCCGCCGCCGCCGCCCCCGGCACCTCCTCCCGAGGCTTGTAGCGCTTCGCGACGGCAGCACGCCCTGTCCCAGCTTGTTAGCTCCGACGCAGGTCCTCTTTGGCGCCCTCCGTGTCCAGTCTAGCTCGGCCGGCGATGGCAGCGGAGCAGCGGTCGGAGAAGAAGAATCCGCCGCCGGAGAAGAAGGCCCCGCTCCCGAAGGTGGTCACGCTCAACAAGGCCCTCAATTTGGTGAGCCCCGCATCCCTCAAAAAGACCCGTCGGTTCCTCTTCCTCCTGTTACTCTCCTAGCCAAGATATGTTCGATGCAATCCTCTGTGCTTAAGATTGGTCGCACCTGGTATGTAGTATATTGTACATAGAACTTGCAGCGCTCTCTGTTATTTCTATTTAGGTGATTGCTGTGTCTCCAAAGCAACCGATGCTGCGCCGAGAGCCATCGCCACGATGCCGTATATGTTTTTGTATTTGTTGAGTGCTTGATAGGATTGTGTATCAGTGTATTTGTTGAGTGCTTGATAGGATTGTGCCATACTCACCCATTTCATATGTCATTCTCAGGCCCAGACATGGGTGGACAAAATGAGCTCTCTGGAGCCGGATGAGCTGAACGATAAGGATTTCGAGGGTCGGCCGTCAGGGTATATAATTCATCTATCCTTCTTTCTTAGTATTCATGTGTAATTGGTTTATGAGGCTGACCAATTTCGTTGTAGGCTTGGCCTTGGTGCTAGAGTGGCGCCAAACGCAAAGCGGGCAGCTCCCACCAATCCAGTGGAGAGGAGGCTGCTCAGGAAGGTGAATGCGCAGAAGAGGAAGTCAGCGGAGGAAGAGAAAATAAATACTCAGGAGGTGAATGAGGCGAGTGATGATGATAGCGGTGAGCCTCAAGGTAGAACCAGTGCTTGTAGCAAGAAGAGGGAATTGCCTTCCGTTACTTCAATGCCATTAGGGAAGAAGACCAAGTGACAGTTTGTATGCACGGAACCCTCTAAATATTCATACATGTCTTGATGTTCTAGTCAGATTTTGACAAACCCCTAGGCGATTCTATTTTACCAGCTTACACCCTACAGTGGGTATTTGTTAAATGTAAGGGCATAGCTGGGCTGGATATTTGGCAACTCAATTTGAGCAGTTCCAGTGTTGTCCGTCTGAAGTTGAATAGAGCCTGATTTTCCATTTGATTCCCTGAAATTTCTGCTCCATCCATTCCAACTTCATGTCAGACTTGCTATTACTTTATATATCCTAGAATTTTTATTTCTATTGACAAAATTTCTTTAGATGTTGCCTTATAGTATAGGGGCAAGAAATAAACCCTTGTTTCTCAAGACCAAATGTTTAAAGGTCCATCCAGTGTTCGTTATTATGACTGTTTAAGGAACATAGTTTGTAAGGTGTTTCTTAAATTGCTTTTCCGCTACCAATGTCATTTCCTAAAAGGGGAACCCATGTGGAAGTGAAGGATGAATGGTTCCTTCAAAGTGGACACCTCCTACAGGTTAGTAGTTTCCGAACCTTCTTGATGCAGTATTGTGGCTGGGGAGCAGAGGATGCTAGAGAACCCCTACGAGTACATTAGCAGATGGCCCTCTTAAGGCTACCAGTGCAAGGTTTCTGAATGTTTTGAGTTTTGAGATAATGTATGAGTGTCAGGCTTCAAATTAACGGATGAGTCCATGCTGCTGCGCCGCACAACGCCAACCCTGTAAGTATCAAAAGTTTCCGAATAGATACTTTTTTGTAAGTATCCCATGATGTTATATTTTCTTGTCCATTTCGTAAGGTGCCCAACATCCTGGTTTCTCTGCACTGTTCCATTAATGCACACACAAAAGAGCTGCAAGTTGAATGACTTCTCCAGATGGCAGTAGGCAGACAAACTAGATTCAGCGAGTAGTGAGAAGACCATATGAATTTATTGCAAAAATCTAAGGTGCATGCTTACATAGAGAAAATAGGGGAACAGGGAGGGATATGTCTAGCTAGTCTGGGAAACTGTGAGAACTTAGTCAGATCCTTATTTGAAGTAGTGCTTCTGTCCTTGGTAACAATCTTCCGTTCTGATCAACAGACCATGTCCTAGCACGAGAGG